TAAAATGTTAGGCTTCTTAACAGGATTGAAAGATTATTTAGGTGTTGGTGGAATCCTATTTTCCTCAAGTTCTTTCAATTGAGCTTTAAAAAATGAGTTTGTACTTTCTAACACAGCATTATTAACTTTCAAATAATTTTATATACTATCAGATTCATCCATAAATGTTTTAAAAAAAAAATTTAATTTTAGTATGGTATGATTTTAATAGTTAATGTTGTTTGTTCAATTCATCAAACTCATCCAATAATTTCATGTGGTTGCTATCAATTGTATGTGATATTTCCTAAGGATTTCATGCTCTTTTTGTAATTCTAAAAAAATATAAATTTAATCTAGCATGCATCTTTTTTAGTTTTCTATATGCAATATGAAGTTTTTCCAAAATAACAAATAACTCTTCATAGGTTAAGTCACATACCTCTTCTTGATCTGACTGATCAAGCTTGTTAGCCATCAAATATATGTTGGTGACTTTCTCCTCTGCTTTTATTCTAAGGAATCCAAAGCTGAGTACACCCAAAATGCTCTCTATAATCTCCTCTTACCCTTCCTCACATTTGTTTTGTCCTCCACCTTCTTCTTGTTAGGATTGGCTTTAAGATATAGGCATTCAAATTTGATGTGTAAAGGCTTCCTGCATTCATAGAAAATAACATCTTTAGAAGCCTTGGTATTTTTGTGGAACTTACCTTTATTCTACTACTGACGTCTTCTTTTTTTCATTTTTAGAAAACTCTTGAATTGCCTTGCCATCAAGGCAATGTCATCTTCATCCTTAGGCTAAGACTGATCACTCTTTGAGTCATCCACTTTTAATATTTTATTCTTCTTCTTTCGCTTCTCATTTGCATCAATCTATCTTTGAGTCACTCTTTTGTTCATAAGTAATTAGTGATCTAAGAAGATTGTCAATAGAATAAATATTTAAATCTTTTGATTTCATTATAGCAGTAATCTTTGCATCATAAATAGTAGGCAAACAATAAAGAATCTTATTTACTTTCTCAACATTTATTAGTTCCATACCTAAAGCATGCAATTAGGTGACTATTTAAGTGAAATATGCATATATGTCAGTGATTGATTCATTTGCTTTCATGTGAAACAGTTCATAGTCATGTAGCAAAATGTCAATCTAGATTATTTCACTTTGTTAATCCCTTTGTTTGTGATATAAAGTTTATCCTAAATTTCTTTTACACTTTTATAGGTACAGATACATATATAATCTTCAGATTTAAGTGCACAAAAAAAACTATTTAAACATTTAACGTTTAACTGAGCTAAGTCTTTTTCTTTTATAATCCAACCAGAAAATAATATTTCAATTTAAATATTTAACATTTAATTGAGCTAAGTCTTTTTCTTTTACAATCCAGTCAGAAAATAATATTTCAATTCTAATGCCATCTATAAGTCTAGTTGGCCTAGTGTATCCTTCATGTACTAAAATCCATATGTGATAGTCAAGATATTAAAAAAAACTAGACATACGTGTTTTTCAAAAATCGAAAGGGAAGTTATCAAATAATGGGGGTCTAATTTTGTACCCTTTAAGTGTGTTAAGGTTTCCAAAAGTAGCCATGATCATTTTTAACAAGTTGTCTAAACCTTAATTTTTGAAAGTAAGCTCTGATACCACTTAAAAGACTTTAAAAATTGTTAGACCTAAAGCAATTGTCCCGATGCTAACTAAGAAGGGGGGGGGGGGGAATTAGTTATTTTAAAAACCTGCTAGGAAATTTTAAAAAAAAGCATTTCATATTTTTTAGCACAATAAAAATTTTAATCAAACTGAAAACCTTTCAACCACAAAAATTAAAATGTATAAATAAAAATAAAAATAAAAATGTAATAAAAAATATAGAAATTTATAGTGGTTCAGTCTAACTAGACCTACGTCCACTCCCTAAAAACTCCCTCTTCAGGTATTGCACTATTGCCAAAGTTACTCTCCTTTATCTCCCATAGTAAAGAGAAGAAGCCTTTATAAAATACCTCTCTTCCACTAATCCCTAGTGTGGCAGAGTATCATCATCCTTTTATACTCTCTAAGTGTCAGCTAAGAACCATCGTCCTTTCATACCCACTTAGTTTTGACATAGAACCATCATCCTTTCACACCATTTTGGTGTTGGTGGATAACCGTCATACTTTCACACCCTCCTGGTGTCAGTAGAGAACTAGATATTTTGTAAATTTCTTCTTTCGAGCAACTTCAAAGAAGTAAAAAAGAGGTTCAACAAAACTACAAAGAGATCCTCACATGTGGGCAACCTTGTGAATCGTTCACAAATTCCACTTGCAAGAACTCTCTCCAAACTCTCAAATAGTTTCCCACAACACTCACACTTGCTTTCAAAGAAAACACGAAGAAGGAATCTTTTTACTATTAGTTTTTAGGACCTTATATATGAAAGGATGAAAAATTGTCCAGAAAATTATAATTTTCAATTTGACCATCCACAATCATACAATACGATCAATGATCATAGAGTACGATCGATGATCATATGTATAAACAATTCAAAATTTGCTCGTACGATCCAGTATGAATAGATTTTGTACTATTATTGACCTATGTATGAACTAACATCATACAATACGATCAATTCAAAAATGGAAGAGATTCATCCGGTATGACTCAGTACAAACCAATTTCATACTCTTGATAATATACTGTATGAAATCCATATCATGCAGTATGATATGTTTTTATTAAACCATGTTTTATTTGGTATGAAAATAGATGCAATCATTTTGTACTCTATAAATTATCTATACAATCCTAGGATCATATAGTATGAATATTATAAAAATTTTACCTATTCGTATAGACGAAAAGATACGTAACTATTTCGTACTCTGGATGTCATCCATATGAACTTAAGATCACACAGTATGAATAGTTTAGAAAAATTTAGGAATTCAATGGGACAAACTTATACATATCTATTTCATACTCTGAAAGTCATATATACAAAGGTAACTTCATACAGTATGAACAAGACTTAGAAAATTTTCCTAGCATGGTTCGATTAACTGTTTTCTAGAGGAACCCTTAGATCCAATCATCTCGTATGATCTAAAATCATACATCGTATGATATAAAATTGTACACTATGATTAGTTTTAAAAATTACAAATTTTTACACTCTCACAGTGTGTGTGGGTGCTCAGTTACCCAATTATAATCACACTCTCTCAAACTTAAGAAAAGTATGCAAAGTATATACTTCAGAAACTAAAAATCTTAATCTAATCTAACTTGAAGTCTTCAGCAGGCTAGAGTATGATTTTCTTGAAATGTTAGTACACATAAAATAATAAAATCAATATTTCCAATATATTAGGAAAAATTGTAGTCAATACAATAATATGTTGGAATCATCAAAAACACACATGATATGATAACATAATTATAAAATATAAGTTGTAACACTACTTTTCCTCTTAGTTTTTCCATTATGCTCAGAGGTCGTAGGGGAAGAAAAGATATGTCCCTACATCCTTACAAAAAGAATTAAACATATCAATTTCAAACTGTACACCTAATCACAATGAACAGCCAATATCTTACATCTTAATTTCCTCTATATCTAGGTGGAGAAGGTTCTATGTTCTTCAAATAATTCTTTCTTTTATGCTAGGAATATAACCCAAGTGAATCAAGAATAATACTTAACAAAAAAAAAACTATATGTTTTCTCTCTTAGACTGCCTATACTAACAGGTTCAAACATATCAATATAAATAATTTTTAGTAGCCTAGAGGTGATGATGTCCTTGATTGAATGAAATAAAGACTTAATTTTCTTTCCTAATTTTCATGCATCATACAAGTGGTCCTTAGTGAAATCTAACTTAGGTATGCCTCAAATTATGTCTTTCTAAGTAATCTTCCAAACGGTCTTCATGCTTACATGACATAGTCTCCAATGCCATTACCAGGATTCATCAATAGTACTTTTCAAACACAGAGAATTAAATTGTGTAATGTAATTTAAATGAAGCATATAGACATTTTTTATTCTTTTTTTTCCTAACACAAATTTACCATTAAAACCAATCACGTAATTTATGGATAGAAATTTGATATCAAACCCTTCATCACAAAACTAGATAACACTAAGTTAATTATGCTTTAACCCATCTACAAATAAAATAATCTCAATTTTGAAATTCTTTGAGTTTCTAATTATACCTGAGCCCACTACTTTTCTGGTGGCGTTGTCTCCAAACGTGACCTTACTTCCTGACCTGGCCTCTAGCTTAATGAACTGGTTAAAAATTTTTATCATGTGCCTTGAGCACCTACTGTCCAGGTATCACATGCTCTCACTAGGCCTTTTATGAAAACACTCTATAAAGCTAATGAGATATTAGATTTGGAAACCCAAGTGAGTTCCGGTTCCACCTTATGCCTTGATGTATGATTTGCTTGCATGCGATATTATGGTGCATGTGATTTGGGCCTCCACACTAGATGTTTCATATTGTGTATTATGTTGGTGTGGGGCTATGTAACCTAGCATGCCACATGAATGACACCTAACCCTAGGGAACATATTTAATAGTTTATGCTGGGCTGGGGGTTGTGCCTCTTCCTGGGGGTATATAATGGATACAGATATATGGGGTTATACCATTGTGTCAGTGTAGGTAGTGTTTTATTTTATTTAAGTGCATGGATTTTTTCTTTTAAGAACTGGTTCACACTTTAAAACTTGCAACTTCTAATTTTAATGTATGCTCATTGCTATCTACTTTAGTTGCACATGTTTCTAATTATTTGGATGAATTTTCTATCTTAAGATGCTTTTAGTTTTAAGTAAAATGATGTTAGTGATGATGCCATTAGGCTTATATTGTTCCCATTATTTTAAGAGATAAGGGAAAAAATGTGGTTAAAGTCTTTACATCTAGGCTCTATTTCTATATGGTATGAGTTAGCCCACAAATTTCTAGGAAAGTATTTCCCACCTTCTAAGATTTCTAAGCTTATAAATAAAATTACTTCTTTTACTCAATTAGAAGGAGAATTTATTTATTATAGTTGGGGAGAGATTCAAGGAGATGCTTAGAAAGTGCCCTCACCATGCCTTACCATATTGGTTGGTAATTCAAAATTTTTACAATGGATTGGTAGGATCCCTTAAAGTCATCATTGATGTTGTAGTTGGAGGTTCTTTTATGTCAAAACCTTTTGAAGATGCTCATGATTTAATTGAAGATATGACAATGAATACTTTATAGTGACCCTTGATAGGGTGAATCTTAAGAGAGTGGTAGGAGTCTATGAAAATGATTCTTTATCTATTATGACTGCAAAGTTATAGCATTATTAAAGAAGTTGAGCACTTTAGACTTAAATTCTAATCATCTTTATATTTAGAAGATAAAAACTTAAAGGAAGAAGAAGATATCTTAGGGATTGAAATGATAATTTTATATGAAGACAAAATAATCCCTACTCAAATACATAGAATCCAGATTGGATGAATCACCAAAATTTTTGTTGGTCAAATAATAATGGTGTAAATCAATAGAATTTTGGTCAAAATAACCAAAAAAATTGGAATAATCAAAATCAAGTTAACAACAATCCAAGACTAGCATATCCTCCTAGATTTAATCAAAGTACTCAATATGGAACTAGAAAAACACTTTTAGAAGATGCAATCATACAATTGGGAACTCAATTACAAAGCCAAGCTACTTCAATTAAAAATTAGGAAATATAACTAAATCAGCTTACACTTTCTGTGAGTAGTACACCTAGTAGATCTCTTCTTAGTAACACTAAAGTTAATTCTAAAAAGAAGGAAAGAGATACCAATGGGACCCAATTAAATTTTAGCAATTATGCACCTTTGCAAAATGAATAATCTAGGCAAATCTAACTGAAGACTATAAACTTAGTGCTTCATGGGAGGAAACCCAACCTTAGGTCATATTAGTTATCCAATATGGCTGAAGACTATAAACATAGCACTTTTATGGAGGAAACCCTATCTTTTAAGTTATTTTTATATTAGTTTGCATAAAAAAATCTTTGAGATAGAAGAACGGAGTGCCACGATACCATACTTTCAAATGACGCAGTGCCCCGATTAGCCATAATGATTAAAATTTCAAAATTTTCAAACTCCCCTTTTGCTAAAATCTATAAAGCAAATTTGGAGGAAGTTTAATTCTTAGTTCTGACCTACTCTTGAGTGAGAATTACTCTTTCTTCTCTTAGAAATCAAAAGGCTAAGCAATGGGTAGAATAAAGCATACATCTTCTTCTTTAAAGAATTAAATTGAAAATCATACCATGTATGAGGATTCTTATTCACTTCTCTACATGCAAAGTTCTACCATTATTATTAAGTTGATTGAATTCAAAGAGGAGTTGCATGAAAATAAGAGGAAGTACTTGGCAAAAATAAGGAAGATGCATGGTGGTAGTGTTTTCTTGAATGATTTCTTTCTTGTACATGATATGTGTCTATTTGATTATAAGAAAAAGTATTGCCATGAAAAAATCAAATATGGATGGATTGGCCCTTTCACTATCATTAAAATTTTTCTTAATTATGTCATATGTATAGAGGATAAGAAAACATTGCAAACTATCAAACTCACTGGGTATAGATTGAAACTATGTGATAAGAGTAGTGAAGAATTCTTAAGGTTGTGTATGTATTTTTTTTTTCTTGTTGTTTTTCTACTTTATTATTGTGTAGAAAAAAAGGAAATGATATATAGACATTATCTTATGTAATTATACTTAATTGAAAATATTGACTTTGCGAGTCATTGTTGAATAATGTTGGGCGACATGTACACTAGATATCATGTAACTATATTATGGTATGTTAATGTAATGTCATTTTTTATTTTTAACACATATTTTATGCACTTTTTATCACTCATATGAAAGAATGTGTTTTTAATGTTTGTTTAAGTATTATTTATATATTAGTAAATTCCCTCCATACTAAAATTATTATTGTCATGCGATTACTGATTATTAATTAACCCTTATAAATTATAATAAAAAATAAAAAAAATTTAAGATAATAATAAAACCCTAGATCTTAGTTTGAATGAACTATGTTAATACTTCATAGGCTAGAAAAACTAATACTTAACTCATTTAACCATTTGAGCTGTTATTCTAATTTTAATTTATAAGCTATACCTTTATGAATTTAACTTTTAAATTTCTAAGATGAATAATTAGCATTAAAAATTAGATAAAATTTGATTACAATTTGAAATTATAGCTAATATGAAGATGGAATTAGTAATCTCATCAAGTTTGTACATTATAATTATTAAGATTGTTTGAGAATCCTAAAGTAGAAGAAGATATTCAAAATCATTAATTATGTATCCCACAAAAGAAAAAGAAAAAGAACTATAAATAGTTCTTAAAAACAAAATGAAATGAAAAATATTAAAAGAAAAAGATGAGTACATACAAAAATTGGTATCAGTAAAATCTTAAGATTTGAAATACTATCTTGTACCAAAACTATAAAGGATAAGATGATTGAGCTAATATAAGGGATGGTGAACTAATGAATGTATAATTTTATCTCTATCCATATCCAATTTTTAAAACTACATTATTCACTTCAACATTCAAAATTTGATGATTAAATCTATAACCTATAATTTCAAAATAAGTAAAAAATAAGAATGATTGATTAAGTTTAATTATTTATACTTTTTCAAACTAAAGTATAGCTTTGTTTCTTTTTTTACTAATTATAGATAGTGATGTATTATATTATATATTAGTAATTTTAAATTATCACTATTTATTTTGGTTAATCACTTAATTAGACTTATAAACTTTTATTTGCTTGAGGACAAGAAAGAGTTAAAGTTGAGGAGAATTTGATAAATATAAATAATATTATATTTTCTTTAATTTATTAATAAAAACATATTATTTTAGTTGTGTTTGTGTAAAAAATATAGAAAATAGGAAAAAATTTTAAGTATGGTACACACTATGATGTCTGACTATACCTTTGTGGTGCCAATATTGACACCTTCAAAGCACTCAAATATGGACACGGTGACACCCAGTCTCTATTTGATAGTGCTGTAATATCAGAGTTAGCACTACAAAAGCCCAGTCTATGTCTATATTGGAATAGCCCGTATTTTGACTTTACTAATTTTTTTGGAGTCATTATAACTCCAAAATACAAACCGTCTTTACTATAGTATTTTGATTGTAATATTTTACTTACACAAATTTTTTTCATAATTTTTGGGCACCGATGAAAATCCTTAAGGAATGGTACATGTCGATACAAGTGAGAATTTTATGACCATTAGTGTCTTTTTGCAAACCAATTTAATCAATATTAAAAAAAAAGAAATTAATTAAATAAATAATATAATTTAAATTATTATTTTAAAAAATATCTAATTTCTCTAATTAAGTAGCTTTTAAATGGTTTTTCCTTTAATTGATTTTGACTAACATAGTTGTTTTAGAGAAAGAGAGAGAAATGAGAGGAGTAAGGATAATAAAAGTTAAGATTTGGAGGACGAAAAGCAATTTTTGTCAATTGAGCCAGTTGGGATATTTATTAGTCTCGCTGTATGGAACCTTTACCCTATTTTAATTTTAAAGATTTTGCATTTTTTTACATTTTTTTATCAAATTTTTGTTTTTGTTATTAAAATGTGAATAACATTGTATCAAAAAAATTTAGCCGCTTAACTTTTTATATATTATAGATATTAAAATTATGCACATTTTAAGTTTTTATTTGAGATTTTTCATATGGTGATTTTAAAAATACAATAAATTTTGTCTACCAAAAAAATTATTTTGACATCTAAAAATAGTATTCTAGTATAATAAAAGTCTTAAAATATCATTTTATATAATCCTTGGTAATTTGTTTTTTTTTAATATATATATTTGCCTAATAGGATTCTTTGTTGTCTACCTTTATGACATTTTTTGACATCTTCTTAATTAAGCTCAATTATGTATTATTTATTATAATGTATTAAAAATGGATGTGGATATTGTTTGAGTAATAGCTAGTCGTTATTACTGTTATAATATTGTGATAATAATGTGCATGTGTGAAACAAATAAAGAAAGACTGGTGGACCCATTGGTTGGAGACTAGTTGACCTATATAGGATGGTGGGCCGATGGGCTTACCTTTAAATACTATGGTTTGGTGTTATCCTATACTAACTCACATGATATACTGATTAGGAGTTATAAGGAGATCATTACTATGCCGACATTTAAAGAGTGATGACTCTATTTACTGAGCCAATTATTTAATAATATTGATACTAACACTAAAAAACACTGTGATAGCAAGGACTTCTTACTTGTTTAGTGTGACTACTTAAATGCATATTCTTGAGATATTTTTCTTATTATTTTAAGGTTTATTGTTAATATATACATTTACTGTTATCACATTATTGTACTACTCCAACCACTAGATTCTTGTTGTTACTGATGTAGATACTAATACTATTTGATTATACTGATTCATTAAGTATGTGATATACTGAGCATGTGAAATAGAATGCTCAGATAACATGTGTATATTCCTATATGATTTTATTACATTGATTTGATTTTGACAGTTATTACTAATATTTTAATTTAATATTTTATATAATTTTTATATTGATTGGTATTACTGATATGATGGTTACTTTATAGATTTGACACTCATATTGGTTTATAAATTTATTAGCTTTTATATTGTAGTTATTTATTTTTTATAGATTCTACTATTACTATATTTGAGATTTATTATTTATACACTGATTCAATGATTATATGGATATAACTACTCAGATTTAACTGTTGACATGCATATTACTCATTTGGCATGCTTTGATTTCAATTGTAGGTTTTGATGATCTGCTGGGTATTTTAAGCTCATTATATGTGGTTAAATGATTTCAGGTCAGCAAATACGAATAAGGGTGTGAGACTAGTTAGGATTCTTCATATTCTATTTCTTTTAGTTATTCTTTTATACTCAGAACAGAGTAATTGTATGATAATATAAATCTTGAGTAGTGTATATAATTTTTGGGTATAAATATA